ACTGCAAAGATGGTACCATAGCTTACTAGAGTATATATTAGACTTAATAGTTACTATATACAATAATGGATTTCTATACATTTAATCAGATGAAAACTTTGGTTGTAAGATTCAGATAATTATTTATTAAAAGTTAGTCATTTTAAATGAAATAACAAAGAAAAGTATTTTTGTGCCTCCCTTTCCCTGTTAATGGTCTACCTGGCCCCCTGGCAAAACTTTGCTAGACCCGCCTCTGCACAGTTACCAGCTGTGCGCTACATTAAAAAAAGGATCCTGGTGTTATTTGTCTTCTCAGAAACGGTTCATAACTTCCGTTCAACTCATTCATGTCACCTAAAAGGTAAACCTGTTTCTCCATCACCTGTTCAGCTCTGATGATTCAGTAAGGACATCTCCTGGTTTCATCTTCATGTTTCCCTTTCACCAGATAACCAAACCGATATCATGACCAGCAGTTTTTACAGCCGTGGCTCCAGCAAACAGCAGCTGATACTAGAAATTAATATTAAATCAGTTCTAACAACAGCTTATCAAGCTTAAACGTGCTGCTGTTGTTTATCCGCTGGCCTCCTCTTTCTAGCGCAAAGTGGGCGATAAACAAACAAGAAAGATGGGACTTGCGAGAAAAAAGCCGACTAGCTGATCATTGATCAGTTTCATGATTAAAGTAGCAACAGGGGAGGGAGGGGGAGATAATGAGAGAAGAGTCAGCTTTGCAGCAGGGACAGAATAACTCCAGCTTAGTGTCTTTTTTTCATTCTAGCTGAAGTACGGGGCAAATCGCTTCCTTTTCACCTCAATATGGAACTATGATGGCCAGTCCAGCTGTGGCTCCATATATCAATCAGTTGTTAAGCTTAACGTGGAAATACTATGCAAACATTCAGAGATGAACTTACGAACTTGTTTTACTTCTCTGGGATAGTTTTCTCCGAGATGAAATGTGTCGGTTTAGAAGCATAGCGAGGCTCCAAATGCTCCACCAGACCACAGACAGGTCTGGCAGACAACAGCCGCTCTATCATGTCACACATACTGCTCCGATGCGCTGAGCTGGGTTACGCCAAAAAGCGCTTTTTATGAGGTGATTTTGTGATACCTCAGATTGGATTGCATTTTTTATTTCTCTCCAATATCCGATCCAGTAATTTAGGTCAGTATCGGACCGATACGTAATATCGGATCAGTCCATCTCTAGTAGAAACCTGGCCTTTTAAAATCAAAGTACACCTTTTTTTTGGCACAGTCATAACAAAACATCTTTTAGTGTGTTAATTCATGCCATTTTGTTCCCATTGAGAGTACAATAAATTAAATTATCAGCATTGACAGTGAAAATTTTGGTAAACGCTGTCTGTGGTCAGCATTTCAACACCAAGTTTTAACTTCAACAGGTTTTTGCTTTTTAAGCCACACCCACTTCTGACATGACTCTTCATCCCTTGCAAAGATCAATTTTTATGACTTCATCAGATACGTTTTACTGCTGAAGCGAACAGGGAGCAAATCTGACAGCCAAGATGATGAGGAGCTCAAAAAACAGTGTGAGAAGTGGTAGATAGCTGTCAGAGAAAATCATTCAAGAGCCTAACGGGAGAAAGTGGGAGTATGGGACTGATAGGACAAACTAGACAAATGTGCCATTCATCTGTCAGCCTATTTCCTGTTTCTTAAAAAGCTTCAATGACAAAAACTCTCCTGTGATTGTTAATAATCATATCTCAGAAAAAATAACATGTTTTTCCAAAACCAGGCCTAGTTGTGATAACAGATATTGCAGGACTAATTTTATGGTATAGAGGCTAATTTAGATTACAGTGTGAATCTCATTCCTTCCTGTTCCCACTTAAAGTCAGATTATTTGTTTTTTGTTGTTTTAGAATATTTCTATTAGAACGCTCTTTAAATTGAACCCTGTATATATAACTGACCATCTTGTTTGTGTAGGGTTAATGCAAGAAGTTGAAATTCTTAAAAATATATTATTGCTAACATTTTTGGGTTTATCAGTATTAAGGAGTTACTGCTTCCACTGTCGCTTGCAAGGCCGTTTAACATTACACACTGATTTGCCCGAAGGTTGATGGCCTTTTGAAATGAATACATAGTCTGCTCTGAAATATGCTTTTGCACCTGAGGAAAGGTTGTTCTCTGATATGAATCTCCAGTAATTCCTGCAGCTGTCTTTGACATTTTCTAGCTGGTAAACATTTTGGTTGTTTTGCATAAGTCGGTGCTTCGTATGGTTTTTGAGGTATGCTATTAAGAGCTCATCTGTGAATGTGTACACATTTTGTACTTTCATTCAGTACGTTTTTTTTTTCTGAAAATGAAAACAGCGGAATTCCATAAACTGAAGGCAGAACATAGATTTTGTGCATTACATGGAGTATATTCCATTTGTTTTTATAAGCCACACAGTAAAAACACTGATTGTGCTTTCTGTGAGATTCTACGTCACTACTTATCGTGCTGAATTGAAGTCTGACAAGTGGTTTGTTGTAACCTCAATGCTTCATTAAAACAGAATTCATAGTTTTGGCTGAATGGTGATTGCATCTGAGATGATTAATTCTAAGACAGCCCACCCTGAATGCCCTGAAAATCTCTCAAATATCAGTTTGTCTCAATTGTCTGCACTGTGGCTAAAGATGAAACACCATAAGATATTAATCTGTAACAAGACAACACAAGCTGATTAACAAGATAATACTTCATGTAATCTTGTGAGATATAAGATCTTCTTCCTTCAGTTGCACATGAGCTACTTCTACAGATTAACTGGCTTTCTTCAGTCTGAATAAGACATAGGAGCTGTCACCCAACCAGCTTTTCTTCTGTTCAAGCAGAAGTTTGATGACATCTATCTTCAAATCTGCAGCCTTGCAGAACCGTTTCTTATTTGAACTGTTCAATGTTTACACCGTGGTTTTTTTTTTTTTTTTAAAAAGACTATCTGTACCATGCTATACTATGCTGGCAGCAGCACTCCCCGCCTCAATCTTAGTGTTTGCTTTAATGTCAGATGTGCTGCTGCATGGTTTGCGTTTGGTTATGGGGGCTAAGGTGAGTTGGCTGGCTTTCCAGTTGTCATCTGCCCTGCAGCAGTTTAAGTGGACCTGCAGTGAATCAACTCTGAAAAATTACTTCTCACTCAGTAGGAGATAGTTGGGTGTATTCAAAGGACCTTGTCACTTCCAATATGCTCTCAATGAATCTCCGCCGTTGCCGATGCAAGGCCTCAACCCACTCTGCTGGAAAACCAATGTCTACAGCTGTATTTTGTGACTGTGTGCAGGGAGATTGTTCCTTCAGAAGTTATTACAACTTCAGGAATGAGAAGGGTGTAGATACAAGATGGTTTATAGTGGCATATTTTGTGTGTCGGGCATGTGTGTACTTCTTATCTCAGGCAGAAAAAGGAGGAGGGCAGAAATAATAGTGCAGGGTAGTGATGACTAGATGTGCGTCACAGGAATCAACTTAGACATTAAAAATCTGTCTTCAAATTTAAATTAAAATGTAACCAATGAGCTTGTTTACGACACCTGAATTTGCAAATAATCTTGTAACATCATCTAACAGCACTCATAGCAGCAAAACAAAAAACAAATGCAGTTTGATATAACAAGAAAATAAGGTTTTAATGACTCAGAGTGCCGTTTCTACATGTTTTTGGTTGACTGCTTTAAATGTTCTGCTTAGCAATTTTTCCCCTCTTCTTTTTAATCTATAGCTATCTATATGATGTCAGTGTGAGCAGATATACCTGACACCTAGCTGTGCACATAGATGTAAAAAGAAATATGACATTGTTCCCCTTTAAAGTAGACCATCTTCCTCTTTTGGCTGCTCACCACAGCAGATGATATGCCTCCGTCTCACCCTATCCCTAACATCCTCCTCTGTCACAGCAGCCTTCCGTATATTCTGTTTTACTCTATCCATCAATCGTCTCTGTGGTCCTTGTGTTTTCCTTCTCCCTGACAGCTCCATATTCAACATCCATTGTCTCATTTAAGAAAGATGTTGGACATAAAAGTGGCTCTTCATAGTTAGTTTCAAACTCAGCCCATAAACCTGTTGCTTAGAAATACTTATACCCACATATGAATTTTGTTATATTATACTGAATCTATATGGAGTTGGTTTTGCCTGTTGTAAGCAGAAATATCCAGGTAATGCTGAAGTGGTTCTTTTGGCACAAAGGGAAATCTTCTATATGAGAAGCTTATTCAGCCCCTTGGACGTGTCTTTAAACTCTTGTATTTTTAATGATAAGATTTGAAGACGTATATAACATGGTGGAAATGCTGATAGACTGATAAATACTAATTTCTGAGCAAAGTGCTGCCACAGACCAGCAGCCTCATTACTACCACCAATGCTGTCAGCGCAGTCTTATGTTAGTGGAACCATAAAAATGTCAGTACTTTTTCAATTTGTCAATTTGATGGAAAATTGACAGAGAAATGGGAAATATGACAGTCTGAGAATGTCACAGCATTGTGATTGTGGCTGAATGTGTTGCTGACATGGTTGATAGGTGAAAATGAAGCATGTGGGATCAGACTCGCAGACTTCTCAACCTTGAGAGTCCATGGCAACCCACTGAAAGCAGAATGGTAAACGGAGGCAGGCTGTGTGAGAGAAAGAAATTAGTTCTGGGCCAGAACTGTCTCTTCATTTCCGCATAATAATACTGCAGTAAAAAGGTTGAGAGAAAAAATAAGAAAAAAGTATTAAAAATCTTAGACCAATACAAATCCCTGTGCTTTTTTGCCCCTGTTTTCTCTGTGCTATGTCTCACTTCTCTACTCTTTTTCATCTTTCAGGAATTCACTCTGAAGACTGTGGACCTAAGCAGGCCTGAGGGCTCTGACATATACCAAATCCCTGCCCAGGGGAACAGGGGAGATTAAAAACTTCTGATTGAGGTGGAGAGGAAACAGACACAGAGAGAGGGAAGGAGAGACAGAAAGAAAGCTTATCGTTCACCTTTGTTCTTTTTAATGCCCCAAGTGAAAGATCTCCATAGGCATGTCTGTGAATAACAGCAAACACAAGAGCAGCTGCCCACCACTGTGGTCAGAAGATGGAGTGAGAGAGTGAGGGAGGAGACGAGAACAGGATTACATCCTGTGAAAGAGCCAAGCTCATATTCTACTTTAATTGAATGCCTGGGAGAAAGGAGAGGCATGAGAGCAAGCCTTTTCAGTGCCAACTGCTTCAAGAGGTACTGCAATTAACCCTCTGGCCATCATAAAGTAATACCTGGCTTTTGCTGTTTTCCAATTGCTGGGTTTGGTTGTACACTGTGGATGTGTGCTTGGGCCGTGGTCATGTTTCAACCCCTGGTGTGTAGACCGGAACGGACCGGCTCTCAAAGAAACGGCCTGATTCCTCCTCTGTTGCTGCTGCTGCTGCTTCTTTACACCTCCCTTAAGCCCGCTCAGGCGGCCAAACCCAAAGGGCCAGGACACACACATTTGAACTCTATTCGCATCGATGGGGATATCTCCTTAGGTGGGCTCTTCCCAGTACACGCCAGAGGGCACGATGGAAAGCCGTGTGGGGAGCTGAAGAAGGAGAAGGGCATACATAGACTGGAGGCCATGCTCTTTGCCCTTGACCGCATCAATAATGACAATAATCTACTGCCCAACATCACACTGGGAGCACGAATCCTGGACACCTGCTCAAGGGACACTCACGCCTTGGAGCAGTCTCTCACCTTCGTGCAGGCTCTGATCGAGAAGGACGGCACAGATGTCAAATGTCTCGGTGGGGGGGCGCCCATTATCACCAAACCTGAGAGGGTTGTAGGTGTTATTGGAGCCTCCTCCAGCTCTGTTTCCATCATGGTGGCCAATATATTACGCCTGTTTAAGGTAAGATTATCATTACTTATTAGCTTGGTTTGTTGGGATGTGCGAATTTCACAAAAAATAGGATGGAAGCGATTCCAAATGATGTATTAGCCTGAAAAATACATATGCTTTTGCTTCAGTGATGCACGTAGACACTGTATTTGTTTGAATAATTAATAACACCGGATGGAAAACAGTACAAGCCGCTGAACAATGTGAGAGAACAATAAGTGTTCGATATCTGCTGCCACACAAAGACCAATTTCATAACTTCAGTGAGGAGATGCCTGGGTAAATCTCATCCCGGCTGGTGCCCTGGAGGAGCTGGTTGCTAAGCAGTGAGAGGTATTGCCTGTCACAATACAAAAGTGATTAATAGGATTTGATTTCACTTTTGGCCTATAGCCTTTCCCTTGATCACAATAGTGTTTACATTTGTTTACACTACAGAAAAAATATGTTCTCTTCGTGGACATTTGGATATTTGATAAATTATTCAATACAGATTTTATTATCACAGCAGTCAGCCATGGCAGTCATAATAGTTCTTTTTCACTTTACCAAAGGCATGATTGCTATTTAACGCTTGGCTCACTACAAAAATAACAAACCTTTTTTGACTAAAAAGAATTAGTTTTTTAAAAGTACTGTCATGTTTGAAAAGGTTTCATGGGTAATTACACCTTTTTGCTAAATATTAGACAAATCACTTTCAGTGAGATGAGGTAGTGGCTGATTTAAATTCAGTGATAATTAAAACCAGGAACTTTTCCTCACACAAACTTGGGGCTAAAAAAATATTTTATTATTTATACAAGACCCTGACTCCAGATTTTACCTTCACCTTGATCTTGCATGGAAATTTGTGTCTATGACTGTCCTTTTCTTGCTTATGCTGCAAGGTCAAAGGGGAACTCAATCACACTCAAAAACATTCTTTCAGCTGATTCAGTGTTTGCCCAAGGACACTTCAACAGAACAGGTGTTTACTGTCATCAATTCTTTTAAAACGTCAGTATCTAAAATGCTAGATGAGGAGCTGCAGATTCAACTCGAAGCACACTGCTGGACATTTTTTCAGTGCTGTATCACTGTACACAACACCAGATGAAAGCACAGCAGGCTACACATAGATTTTACTCGGGTAGGACACGTGGGTATATTGAGGGCTGCCCAAGTATATTTTGAAACCAGCCTTTTTATTTAAACTTCTGTTATATATAAGAGTCCTAGCAGCTGCCTCCGAGGCTGAAAAGTGAAGCTAATACAAAGTGTCAAAAACTCCTCTTCCTAGAGTGGCCACAAAAGCCAGTCAGTCCCCATAGACTCCTCTTTTAAACGTGGTAAAAAGCATGTTTATGGATATTGTACCTTTTCATAACAACTATATATAATTTTACTTTTTTAAATAACATGTTCATTTGGATACTGGTTAAAGTGCACGTTAAGTTTGCAGCATGGCTGCTTCATTTGACAGATGTGGTGGCACCTGCAGCCAATTGCTGTCTACTAGGTTGTGCTTCCTCTAATGTGGGTGACAGACAGTCTTTGTGTGGTTGACATCACTTGGATTAGAGATGTAATTACTTTACAGACAGCACTGTAAGTCAGGTGTGCTGCACCTGTGGAATTTTTGGCAGCTTAGCGTTAGTTCGTAACTTAGCAGTCTATCCTCTTGTCCAAACATGGCAACCTCAGGCTCCAGAAAATCAACATGGTGGAAACCAAAATGCTCATACTAATGCTTCAAACTGTGGAGTCCAGAATATTATGGGATGTAACAGTGGTTACTTCCATCTTTTTTTATACACTGTATGCTGCCAACCAGCTAACTGAGACCCTTTATCTCGTGCACGTTTCTGTACTGGCAACCAAGTTGCTTTTGTTTCAGCTGTTTATTAAACACTGCACGCTTACATACAGTACTGTGCAAAAGTTTTAGGCAGGTGAGGGAAAAAATGCTGTAAACTAAGAATGCTTTTAAAAATGGAAGTGTTAATCATTTATTTTTATCAATCAACAAAATGCAGTGAATGAACAAAAGGGAACTCTAAATCAAATCAATATTTGGTGTGACCATATTTTGCCTTTAAAACAGCATCAGTTCTTCTAGGTACACTTTCAGACAGTTTTTGAAGCAACTCGGCTGGTCAGTTGTTCCAAACATCTTGGAGAACTAACCACAGATCTTCTGTGGATGTGGGCTTCCTCACATCCTTCTTTCTTCATCTAATCCCAGACACACTCTATGATGTAGAAATCAGGGCTCTGTGGGGGCCATACCATCACTTCCAGTACTTCTTGTTCTTCTTTACGCTGAAGATGGTTCTTAATGACTTTGGCTTTATGTTTGGGGTCATTGTGCTGCTGCAGAATACATTTGGGGCCAATAAACAATCATTTATATTTCTGAAAGCATTCTAAATGTCATGAAAATATCAAAGGGTGTTGGTGAAATAAAAAGAGTTGATCAGCCTACCATATGTTCATTTTTCTTTCATTCATTAGTTTATTAATGATTAGTTATTTGTAATTTTTAAGCCAAATGCTTAATTCAAAGCTTTGTTAATTCATGTATTTTTGCTTTGTTTTATTTTGCTACTCTTCTTTGTCTTATTTGATGTATGAATTCAGTATCTCAGGTTCTGGAGTGTAGTTTTGAGGGTCGGAGGGGAGGCAATTTGAAGTTGTTACCTTGGGCTCTGGGAAACTCCGGGGGCATTTTTACTATTTGCGACATAATTTAGGAAATAATTGGCTGATGGATGTGAATGAATGAAATGAAAAATAATCATTAGCTGCATTGTTGGATGATGTAAATGAAAGCCAAAAGAGCATGATGTACAATGTGTTTCTATACTACTTTTTTCCCCCTTGATCAACCAATCAATGTTCTCATCACCAGTACCAAATCCTAGACAACCGCTGAACCAGACCAGACTCAATGCTTTATCTGCTACCTTCCAGTGTGATGTCATTCGCCAGCTGTATGCAGGAGAGATGCTCCGCTGTGTGATTTATTTATTTATTTTTTTGTTATAACTGGAGTATGATTAGGACATGTTTCTTTTTTTATTTTATTGCCTGTGAAAATGTGTTCATTTTACAGGCGATGTGAGTGAAGCCAAAAAAAAAAAAAGTGAGATGTGAAGTAAAGCATGAAAGGTGATATATACTGTAGGAGTTTGGTGTGGGGTAGCTGGTGTGTAGGTGTGCTGCACTGCAGTGTATCTGGACAGAAGCCATTAATACTATAGCACCACTCATACTTCCAGATAGGTTGAGTAATTTTAAAAATCAAAAATATGTAAAATGAAAAGTAGTATTCACATCACTAAATAAAATCAATGCAAATGACCTGGAATGCTTAGATTTAGCTACAGCTCTAGATTTTGCTGAGATGGATATGAGGCTTTTATTTTGTTTTTTATGCTTATTTATGTATTAGTTAATCTAATACTCCACAGCAACAGCCTGGAGTCTGTGTTATTTGATAAGCTCCCTGATTCCAGAGTGTTACAAACCACACGGGATGTATCCTCCTCCTCGAGGCCCCCAGCATTAATCAGTGTGAACCCAGTGTGATGGCACACACGCACTTCCTCACACACGCCAAGGTCTCGTGCATTCTTTTATATGTTTCAATGTGTGTAAATGTTTTTGTTAAAGTCTGTGTATAGGTTTGTGCATCTCCGTACGGATATGTTCAGTACACACCAGTAGAAAATATACTCTAGCACACAGAACCCTGTGCATGAACTTTGCATTTCTCTCTGTCTTCATCTCATAAAGTATGCCTATATGTGCACTCGCACAGGTAAGAGTCGGTGTGGGCCACAGTAATGAGCATCTCCTGCAGTGCGTTCCTGATCCCTTTCTCGCATGGGAGCCTCAAATCCTTCGTCATTAGCACAGTGCTCATTGCTTCTTCATTAATGCATGTAAGCGTTGTCCTTGCATATTTAATCTGAATGTCTCTGATCTCCTATCTCTTTATCCTCAATGCATATAAGCAATGCATCCCCCTCTTCTGCTTTTTTATATGCAGATGGATGGAGGGTGAGAAAGCAGCACTAGACTGACAGCAAGCCAGTCCATCTTCAATACTATCACTTTTTAATCGCTCTTCTGAAAATCAAACACATACCAACACAGTGATGAATCAATCAAAGACTGTTGCAACACTCCATAAAAACTGAACTGAACTGTTACAGTTACACAATTTAACAGCAAACTTTTAATGCAGAGCAGTGTGTGGTCATTTAGGCCAAGACTTTGAGTTATAGCTTCCCAGGGATCCATAGGTCAGCCAAATGCCAGCACGTTCTTCTGGCCCTGATGGAGCTGCTGATGGTCTCAGAAAGTTTTAACTTCCTCCTTGCCCCCACACACACACACTTCCCCCAAAGGAAAAAAAAAGTCTACTTATTATAAAAATAATAAGTAGAAGGAGTTCAGGGAAGATTGTATCTACTAGCTTTGTTGCTAGGCATAAATGCTTGATTTAAAAGAAGGCAAAGTATGTACACAACTACCAACTCAGCATGCTAGTGAAGTTAAAACCAACTTGTAGACATGCTTATGCATCTGTGTGCATATCTACATGCATAAACCATGCGCAAAATTGCAGCACTCAAATACCAGCTATATAAATCCTTCACACAAAGAAACAGTCTCGTACAAAAGTAATCATGCGCATTTGCACACAAACCACTTTAAAGGCAGCAGCAGCCACCCTGGTGTAGTTAGCAGGTTTTCTAAAAAGTGTTTCCTCAGCACTCAGCTGCATACAGATGTGGTCCAGAGAAGCTGATGAATATTTTACTTGAACCTTATGTAACGGTACATGGGGACCAGGAGCTGCAGCTCAAGAAGATTTTCGTGCATTTCACAAAAGAGGGAGCTGCTTTGACAAGCATTTGGGGAAAAAGATCATTTGTGATCACAGAAAAGCCATGTCAGATGATTGCATTATTCATTTACGCAGCAGATGTGTTCATAATGTGTTGACTCATGTCACA